TTGAGGTTGCCCGATCAGAGCCAAAAGTTTTTCCCAATTGGGCTCTAATTTTGGCCCAATTAGCGATTTGCCCAATCTACCGAAGATTTCCCCAACCAGTGCTCACAATTTGCTCAAAGTGAACATGCATACGCAATTAAAATGTTTCTATCGATAAAATCACACATACACACATCAAAATTTCCTACGAAAAAAAATATTTTTTAATTTTTTTCTTGAAAAATTTTCCACATACAAATTTTTTGATTAAAAAAATTAGTTTTTGAAAATATGCCATTTCAAAAAAAATTGGAAAAAATCACAATGGTAGCTCTGAGTATTGCGCAATATTTAAGTATAATGTTATGGGGTGCACTCTACAATAATTTGAGTTATGAATTTTTTTTTACACCGAAGTTGAGTAAAATTAGTACATTACCAATTTACAAATTTTTTAAACTTTTTTAGATTTTTTTTGAATATCTATGCAGTTTTATAGCCCATTAAATTTTAGTACANAAAAATTAAAAAATATTTTTTTTCGTAGGGAATTTTGATGTGTGTATGTGTGATTTTATCGATAAAAACGTTTTAATTGCGTATGCATGTTCACTTTGAGCAAATTGTGAGCACTGGTTGGGGAAATCTTCGGTAGATTGGGCAAATCGCTAATTGGGCCCCAATTGGGCCAAAATTAGAGCCCAATTGGGAAAAACTTTTGGCTCTGATCGGGCAACCTCAAAAAATTTTCACCAAGGAAATTTTTTCATAATGGGCAACAATTTTTGTGCCCTCAACTGGCACGAAAATCTGGTAGCATCATATAAGTGCATTTTCAGAAAAAAAATCATAACTCGAAAATGACGAACTTTATCATATTGCCACACGTACTGAAAATAGTTTATACTATTCCCTAATATATAAAAAAGTTTGAGAGAAAAAAAACATGTGGCAATTTGAAAAAATCAATCAATTTGAAAAAAGAAAATTTTTGTTTATAAACAATAATTAATTATTAATAAACAATTACGGATGTTTAGTTCACCAGATCGATCTGCAATTAAAAAAAAAAAATCGTTAAAAGCCTTGCTTTTTTGCGGCAGTTATAAACGATTTCATCAAAAGTTGCTATTAAGAGAGGAAAAAAGAAGCGTTCGTACTTAAAAAGAAAAAAATTCATTATTCGAAAAAATCGCATTTCTGAGCAAAAGGAAAAAATACGTGTCTCCTTAAATTGTTCAAGGAACAATCCCTGTGAGTTTTATCGCAAACTTAAATTCGCTTTCCCCCGGCCTGGGTTATTTGAGATGGAATGAGCCAATTGATATTGTCAAGCCCAAAAGCGAAGCTTTTTTTCCTAACATCTGTGACCTCACCACAACCTTTCGAAAGCAAAAGTCTTTCGTAAGACAGTTGTCTATTCTGGCAACTTTCTTAGAAGCTCTTTACTGTCTTTCTGTCGAAAAACAAATTGAAAGATCTGCTAACGAGGAGGTATTAGCGTTATGCTTACGGTGACCATATTAACCAACGTAACATATAGGACATTTTTTTTAATGATTTGGGAATACGTACATACAACTTGTATGATAAAAGTACCTTACCCATATCGTAATTTAAATCAAATATTTACCAGTTAATTATGTTATTTAATTGTACAAGTTCCTCTGCTGTAGTGAAAAATTAAGCCAGACTCTTTTCAAGGACTTCGCCATCCTGTGTTACCAAAATGCGTTTACCATAATTCATACTGCACGACGAAGCCAGCACACTGTGGTTCAAAATTGGAATTTAATGTTCATAATGCACTGGAGCCTTCATTTTTCAACGAACTTTTTTTGTATTTTTTTTTTTTGTTTTGGGAGAACCATACATTTGTTTTCAACAAGTTTTCGTTATGTAACATTTATTAGGTGGAACATTTTCTTCAAAGTTGCTACTTTTTCTGCATTTTGCACTAAAAAATTTAATATAATCAATTAAAGTTCAGAAATCATGTTCAACTGCTCTCTTGCAAATATTGTAAGCGTTCATAAAAAAAAAAAATTAATCGGGTTAAGTGAAAAATGAAGGCTCCAGGGAATTACGTACACTAAATGGCAGTTTTGAACAACTGTGCAGCAGGGGGATTATTGTTCTCCTTCACTGTAACTGGAAACTCAGCGTGCAACACGATCCTGGGCACAACTTTCCCTGCGCTTTATAGATTGTATAAAGATTACCGATTAAATAGAAACCCTTAAGTGGGGTGCGAAACAAACTAGCGAAGGTTTTCATTATATTTTATAAGAGATATTTTTATTTTTCATATACCTCTGAAAAATGCAGAGCCGATTTAAAGGACACTTTAAGAAATAAAGGACAAAAGGCGTCCTTTATTTTGAAACAAATTATAAAGGACAGGGGGTTAAAATAAAGGACGGATGGTCCTGTGGTGTAGTTATGCTGTTCGTGTTTTAGCAATAAGTTTTTTTGATTAAAAAAATATATGTATACATATATTTATTTATAAAACAATAAAAAGTAATACATTAAAGCAATTTAAATAAAAAACAAGTAAGAGCAGCGCTGTCTTCGGCTATGCCGAAGGCTTCATACCTTTCATGAACATCTGCAAATTTTAGTTTNGACAGACGGACAGACGGACAGACGGACATGGATAAATCAACTCAGCTCGACGTTCTGATCATATAAGTATACATTTTAATGGGTCTATCTCTTTTTGTTCTGGTACTTACAAACTTCGGACCAAAGTTATAATACCATTTCATGCTCATGAAAGGTATAAAAATTTAAAATAAAGCAAAAATATTAAAAAGGAAATATTTCTAAAGATTAAATGTGCTTACAATAAAACTTATTTCTTCTTAATTTATAAAAAAAAAGAAAAGAACTCGGATCTTTTGAGCGTCACGCCCGCGCTCTGTTCACTCGGCTATTGCGACTGTTGGAGCGACGCGAGCTAAATCATATACAAATACTTTCTCTCAAAATAGCTTTTCACCACGAATGGTGAATGGGAAAGCTTTTTTCTAACGTTTTTGCTAGAATAACAAAAGGCCTTTCGAACTATCTTGGGATCTGTCTTTCATTTGTCTTACGAAGGACTTTTTACTATCTTACTGGCTAACTAGTATGATAAGGCACTGGTATGTAGCAAGAGCTGTCAAAAGTTAAAATATTCTAAATGCTCTAAATTGCCAACAATATGTAGCTGGGGTTGTGGTGTATTATTGCTGATGTAGCTAGCGAAATAGCTTGTGACTGTGGCACTACATTCTGGTTAGCCGGTTAGCCTGAATTGCCCAGATATTTTAGCACAAATGCCTTAGAAAAAAGCACTCTCATTCACCACATTAAGAGAAAGCACTTGTAGAGCATTTAGCTCTCGCCGTTCCAACAGCGCAGTGGCCGAGTGAGCAAAGCGCATGCGTGTCATCCAAAAGATCTAAATTGGAGTCGTCGGGTGGCGGAATTCGTTATTATTTTTTTATTTAAATTTTTTGCTTTTTTAATTTATATTTTTGTTTTTTTAAATTAATTTTTTTAATAGTTATATTTTATTTTTTCTTTTCTAGTTTAATTTTAAGATCTTATTGTTTTGGAAAGAAAACAAATTTTCTCATTTAATTTTTAAAAATATTTCAATGCATTTTTGCTTTATTTTCATTTTAAATATACTTTTTTATCTATTATTATTTTTATTCGTTTTATTCGTCGTATATTTTTTTATAGTTTTAAAAATAAAAATACATATACAGTGAAAGCTCCTGCGGACATCTCCTAAATATAAACGGACACATTCTTGGGAACGATCAATTTTTAGTTTTTTTCCATACAAAACTTCGCATACACGGATTTTCCGATAAACGGACGCGGACATTCAAAAATGTCCAGTTATGAAAAAAAATCTCCCATAGGCGGACGTGAGGCTCTGCGGCTAATTTTGTTTTTTGTTTTTCAGTCAGATGTTGACTCTTGCGCTTGTACAAATCTATACGTACACAAGAACATAGTCCATATTCAAAGATATTTCCTTTTCTAGAAAATTTCTGTCTTTTTCGTTGCCCTCTTCTTGCTGCGTAAGCGAAGCGGGCAATGAGGTTTGTCGGTAGGAAAGAAAACGCCATAAATTTGAATTTATTTTTTATTCATGCTGTTTTTATCTATTGAAGAATAAATATTAATTTAATTGAGAAACCCGCAATTTAAATTTTTTAAATTTGAATTTTAATGATTTTTTTTTACGAAATTCTCACAAGCGGACATCTCCCTTAGGCAGGCATAAAGTAGGTGACCATCAGTGTCCGCTTATGGGAGCTTCCACTGTATATATGAATGTATATATTTATATGTATGTATATGCTTAGCATAACGCTAACACCTGCTCTTTACTGAACATTCGCGAGTTATTAATTTGACATAAAATTAAAATTGTTTAATCCTTTAATCATTTCATTCACTATTGCATGAATTTGCTCTCGGTGCTAATCTGCTTTAAAGCCGCTGGCTTAGCAAACAGTAAAATAATTGGCCTCCTGCTGTTAGAACTAACTGCTTACAGGCAGCCAATAACAGCAATAGCATAAGTATGCAAGTAAATATGCACATACATACATATTTATAGGTATGTATGTAGTGTGTCTGTTAGATTATAGCATCACGCCTTAGGCGTCAACAATTAAAATATCCAGCGGAGACGAAAATAAAAAAAAAAAGAGAAAAAGTGTGCGCAGAGAAAAATCGCCAGCAACTCGCTAAAAACTTTTGCTGTCACTCAATCATTTTAATTAAGTAATTTTTTTTTGTCGCCTCGCAGTGAAAGTTTTCATAGTTGGCTAACAAACATACCAATAAAAAAGTCGCACCAACAAAATCATATCTATATATCTGTGTTCGTATGGAAAAGTAGCTTATGTCGAAAGGCTGGCTTTAGTATAAATCGGCATTCACAGCATACGATTGCGAATGACTTACTGGCGCTGAGTTGTTGAAGAACTTTTGGGAAATAAACGTGCAAGAAGTAGTTCCGATACTAGCAAGTCAATATTCTTATTAAGTCTCATCAAAAAATTTCTTGTCGTTTAAAGAATAAAGGGAATGCCGCATTATACTAAAGCCAGCCTTTCGACATAAGCTACTTTTCCATATGAACACAGATATATATACATATGTACACATGTACATACATACATACATTTGCAAGCTTGAGAGTGCTAACCGCAAACCAACGCTCTACACCCGCTGCGCTACTTCCGGTTCGGCATAAAAACGGAAGCGGATGCGGATGCGGAAGTTACGCCTTTTGCGCGACGCCAACCCCAACCCCAACGCTATGCATGTATAGGAACGTTTTCGGCCAACTACATACATACATACTTACATACGTATATCCCTTGTGTGTTGTGTTTGTATGTTTGTTGGTTTAGCGAAACCAAAAACAAAACAAAAAACACAAACACAAACATCGTAGTTGCCGACAGATTAAGATCAAACAGTTGCTCGGTTAGTAGGTCAGATTTCCATCAGAGACGCATATGGACAAATTTTTGTGGCTACATATAAATAGGTACTTGTATGTATATATGTATGTACGTAATTGTGGTTAATTATAGCACCGCTTTAGGCGGAAAAGTGCGACATTTACTCTACCGGCATTCGCAGCGCCTTCGGGCGCAACCATGGTTGAGTAGCCCAGTTCAAGATTGTCGCATCTTCTAGCTACGTCTTGCGTCTTCTTCTTTTAGTTGGTTGCGTCAGTCGTTGCATGAGCATTAGATAAATTTCATTGTTAATTGCTGAGATTTGCGCGCATAGTTTCTGCCACAGATTACGCGGTGTTTAACGAGCTCGTAAACCGGTCGAATAAAAGTTGTTAAAAAGTTTTTCCCTCGTCGTATTCGACTCTGTCTCCGCACTACATTTTTTTCGCCTACTCGTATTTAATTATATTTTTTGGTTCTTCGTTTTGTTATATGTTTGTTTTTTTTTTTTGCTGCTACTGAGGCAAATCTTTTTTGGCATTGCGTTTTTGTGTTTGCACTTTGTTAAAGTACGTAAGTGCTTGCGGGAGTTTTTCGAACTTGTAGAATGGGCATGCAATTTGAGTTTGGTAATTAATTAAAGTTTTATGGTACTATGAATATGTGCTAAGCGTCGTCAAAGAGCGATAAAATCTGAAAAGTATTTTTTTCTTTGGACATAGTACTTCTAAACTTGTTGTGTACGCAAGTAGCAAGAACATTAGATGAGAGAACTTTGATTACAATACATTTTACTGGCAGATAATTAAATGCTGTATATCCCGAAACAGAAGAGCAAAATGAATTAATGGAAGATTAACTACACTGAGGAACCTTAAATACAAAGTCAGTGCTGATAGTTTAAGATAAAGGTCCAATAGAAAGAAAGCTAGCTTAGGCCTATTTGGTTTCCACAAAATCAAGGCTGGCCAGAGACTGGGGAAAGTGTATTTTATATTGCTCTGGCAGAGAAAGTTGCCAACTCTTTTCTATTGTACATCGTATCTGCGGCTGGGGCCGAAGTCATTTTCGAGGTCCTATTTACAGTATATCCACATTAAGCATGCCAATCTCTCCACTTTGTGATAGGCGAACAGGGGAGATAAGAGGCTTAGGTTTTTCTCAAGGAAAATTAGTCGTATCTGATTTTAACCAAAGATAGATCATTTATTGGTCGATATACATATATAGCAGGGTTGGGCACGCTGCACTAAATTCATTACCATTATAAGAGTGAACATTTTTTTTTCACTACCACTACGCACTTAGTGGAAATGCATTTCGCTTCCCCTATATGGCTAGTGGTTATATATTTTTTCCCGTTGTCAGGAAATGGTTATTAAATATCACAGTTCGCAAAATTTTCTTAAATTTGTAAACTAGTGTAATTAGTCAATTATAGTCAAATTGTCGTTCCCTTACCGCTAACCATAAAGTGGTAGTGAAACTTGAAATACACTACCACTAAAGCCCTTGTGGTAGTGAAATTTTTGATTTAGTGCAATTTGCCCAACCCTGATAAAAAGACATAATGTACAGGTATGCACTCTGAGCAAGGTATTCATTGTGCTCTCCATAATTCCCATCCAGAAGAGAATGAAGAAAAGAATGAGTGGTCGCTAGAGAATATATCTATTTCTATACACCGACGGGTCCAAGATGGATTGAGTTTAAGGAGCGGTAATTTACTCTGAGGAGCTTGGTGTTGCTCTTTTTCTACTATTTTAAAAGGATACAAGCATCTGCCCAGCGAAAGTGCTAAGTACGAGTATCAGTGAAGCCCGTAAAATATTAGATAACAAAGTGAGGTACAAAAATAAAGCCGCAATTTAATCTGACAGGCAAACAGCGCTATTGGCAATGACACCTCTGTCTACAAAATTTTAGCTAATTAGGGAATGCAAAAAGGAATTACGCTTACTGTCTAAGTCAACAAGCGTCGCTCTTATATCGATTATAGGGCTTATGTAGCAACATCGAAGGCAATGGGAAGACTAATGAATTGGCGAAGGCAAGAGTCTGCTTCATTAACCAACATCACATCCCATTTTCGACCTGTCCGTGAAGGCCGTTAAGCCCTACAAGAACTGGACTCTTCGTTGAGTCCAGTCACTGTGGCTTGGGATTTTCGTGCGAGGTTTGTGGTGAACCCAGGTCTTCGACAGGATGTTATCAGTAGGCAGTGCTTTAATTTCATCTGATAATGCATTTAGGATGGGATTATACCCGAACGGTCTTTCTTTTCAGAGCCCCAAGGTACGAAGTCTGATGGCGCTGCTAGCAGCCGAATTTTCCTTGAAAATATCTGTCTGAAGTCAGTCAAGCAGAACGTTTTGAACATCCTGCGGACAGGATATTACTGCATACGTTACGCCAGCGGCTGTGACACTACCGCTGTTAGTCTTAGTGCAGATTTCCCAGTCGAGTTTTTTGCTGTCAAGTCTCTCGTTCGCAGATTCAGTATTTTGTTTAACGCTGCAATGCGGGTGATGCGCAGCGCTCTCGACATGCCTAGACAAGCTTGTCTTTATATCTTTTGGTTTATTGCCTCCCGCTACACGAATATACCATAGATCAATATTGCTATGAAGACCGCCGTTAAGATCCAATGTGAGGGTCTGGTTGATACGACATAGGGACTGTCTTACAGAACAGCTTGCTACAAACATGTAAGGGTTAAAACATAGTGGAACAGCGAGCAAAGAGCATCAAGCAAAGCGTCGATTTCAAATGCATATGTTTCAATGGGAGAGTGCATAGTGAAGAGCAAAGCGTTCCACTATGTTTTGACCCGCAGGCAATGCAGGCTTTTCATGCCATGGTCAGATATAACCTGCTTATTAGATCAAAGACAGAACTGCAGTAACCATAACCATCAAAATATACGAGTATCGGGATAACGGGACTCCCGGCAGTCCGTTACCAAGGCCTACTCTCCACATTAAGAAACAATTGCTAAACAAAGTGAAAATGAATAAAGCTGCAGGGAAGACAAACTCCTTTCTATGAGAAAGAATTGAAAAAAGAATGTTATTTTGTATACTAAAATACGAAATCATTATCACGCTCTTCCAGCAAACGGGCAATATCATGACAAGCCATTCAAAATGAAACACCGAGATGAAGTTCTAATTGGTTATTAACAATGAATATCCAGTTGTATGCGGAATTTGATGAGTTCATTTCGGAGAACGCGCAATCGATTAAAATTTCATTAACACTTTCAGAATTACACATCCAATTATGGGTTTATATATAGTTACATATATATGTATATTTATGTACATTAGAGTGGTCCAAAAAAATTAAGTTGGAATTTTTATGCCGGCACCCCGTAGGATTGTTCTATATCGAAAAAAATATAACCCTATTTTTTTTATTTTGAAATCAAAAAATATTTAGGGGGTGCTCAAAGCACTCAAAGTTTTCCATTTATTTTATATGGAGAAAAAACCATTTTTCGTAGAAATGGTAAAGACTCTTAAAAATCAATATTTTTCAATCTGAAAACTGTGGTTCTCTTCAGGAGACTTCCAGTATTAATAACCAATTGTTTATTTAACTATTTTTTATGATTAAAGATTTTTCCATTGCATTTTCTAGGGGTTTTGGAGGACCTATAACTATTTCTACGAAAAGTTGTTTTTCCCCCATATAAAATACATGGAAAACTTTGAGCGCTTTGAGCACTCTCTATTTTTTTTTTCAAAATAAAAAATAGGGGTATATTTTTTTTCGATATAAAAAATAGGGGTATATTTTTTTTTCGATATAGAACAATCCTAGGGGGTGGCGGCATTAAAAATCCGACCTTATTTTTTTTACATACATTTTTGGACCACTTTAATGTACATATGTATGTATAGGGTATGTAGGTAGGTACGTATGCACAAGAAAAGTAGATTTCACACGTGAACTAGAAATATGCGCCATTAATTGTTTGCATCTGTTCGTTATAAGTGGATTTTAATTAACTCACAGCGATGGCATGACACGTGCGACATGTACGCCGTACATACATACATATATATGTAGATAGGCAGCTACCCTGCAGTGAAAAATCATCAATTGATAAAATTAAAAAATTTGAAGTTTATGTAAGACAAAACTTAGTTAAAGCGGGTTGTCATGCAGACGTAATCAGGAGTTTGTTTTCTTTTAACAAGTTTCTATTTAAATGTCCTCATAAAAAAATTACTTTTTTCCCATTCAAGACAAATAAAATAAAGGTCAAAATTTTATAATATTATTTTGATGTTATATCAAACGGACTTCCAATATAAGGGCCCCTTACAGCAGAATATGTAAAAATATAAACAAGTATGTAGTGTTAAAGAAAGTAAATAAATAAACATAAAAAACCCAAAAAAAAAATAAATTTGTTTATTGATATTTTATGTCCAAACGTAGTTAGTTACAAGTGAGTAGAGCTGGGGTATCCAGGTCTGACTTTTTTCGGCCAAACGCCCTACGAAAGTAGTTAGCTTTTTTCGAACAAAATATACGGCAATTA